GGTCAGATAGACCCTATGCTTTTCCCACCCCCATAACAGCATATGAGACTCCCATGTTCTGCTGGGGGTTTCACTGAATTTTTAGAGTTGGAAGGGACCACAGAGATCATCTAGTCCAACTCCCCTGCTAAAGCAGGACCACCCAGAGCTTGTCAGAGCATGTTACTCAAGACTGCATCCAGGTGGGGCTTGAAAATCTCCAGAGAAGGGGACTCCACACCCTCCCTGGGCAGCCTGTTCCAGGGCTCTGTCACCCTCACCGTGAAAAAGTTCTTCCTCATATTCAAGTGGAACCCTTTATGTTCCAACTTGTGCCCATTGCCCCTTGTCCTCTCACTGGCAACTACTGAAAAGAGTCTGGTTCCCTCCTCCCTCAGCCCGCCCTTGAGATACTTCAAATAGAAGTGTTTCAGCTTTGCTGCTCTGAAAATAATAGTTTTTTTTCTTCTGGATGCGTTGATATGGGTAGGCTGTAGGTTGTGGCCTCCCTGGGCTTTCCTCTCCTCTCTTGCCCCACCAAAGCTGGACCTTGGCTTTTTGGCTGGGTCTTGGGGCCCAGCAGCCTGGTTTATGCCAAAAGCGGGGCTGCAGCTGAAAAAATGAGCCTGGCATGTGCCAGTGGTGGCAGCGTGGTGGATGCCGAGCTGCTGCTGATCCACCCAGGAGATCAAAGGAGCAGAAGTCATCCCACGCTGGGAGATGGCCAGGCACCACGCCAGCATCGCTGCAGCCCGGCTTATCCTCCCACTGCTGAATAATTCATGCCATTGCGGTGTGTCATTAGCGGGGCTCTTTGGGAAATCAGTGCTAAGAAAAGGTAATCGCTTGAAGCTGTGGCAGAAAAGTCTCCTTGAAGTACACGGACTGATGGGGAGCGTGGTCCCTGGAGGGGGACCTGAGGCCACTCGGACCCCAGGCTGGGAGGGGTGGCTGAGCACAGGCAGCTCCTGCTGGTCGGGGTGTTTCTGACCATGGAGAGTCACCATGGCTGGATCCATGGCTGTCCTTTTTTCCATGGAATGGCTTTGCTGAGGCTGCTCCTTCCCATGTGCCACTTAGCAAAGCATCATCTCTGTTCCTCTGCCCTGCAGCTGCCAGCCAAGGTGACCCTGGGGAGTTAAAAGTCTAAAGAAAAACATCACTGCTGTTATTTGTGCTGCTTCTGATGCTGGGAAGAATAATTTGGGTTTGCCTTATGGGAAGAAGGGGTGCATGTTGCTGAGAAACTGCAGCACTCTCGGAGTGAGGATGGGATGGCACCACGGTGACAGCCTGCCCAGATGCTGAGCCAGCAGCAGTGGTGGGTCCTTGCTGCAACACTGCTCATGCCATCCCACTCTGCTGAAAATGCCAGCGAGCAAAGGCAGAAACTCAGGTTTATGAGCAGAAAATGGGGGCAGAGCAGGTAGACCCCCATCTTTTCTTTTGGCCGTAAGAAAATGCTGCTGTCCAAGGAAAAACCTGCTCTTCACAACCTCCTACAGTGGGGTGAGCCTGCTGGGGGGACCCGGCTGCATTTAGAGTTTTATTAAAAACAATCACAGGAAACTGCAAAGCTCACAAGGAAAGCTGAGTTGGGGACCTGCACAAGTGCAGTCCCTCCCTGGCTTTAATTTGGGATTAACCCCAGCTGTGGTGGGGTAAGGGGGTTGGTCTTGCCAGGTGATGCTCGTCCTGTAGCTGACATTTCAGGCAGGAGGGAGGTTGTTGTGCCACTCTCTTCTCAGTCTCTCTACATGATGAGCCTCCCTGGAGCCAGCAGGTAGGAAGCTGTGGCATTCCCAGGGTGTTTTGGGGAGTGGGGTGAATCCCTGGCTTGGGATATGGAGCTGGGGGCAGGATTTGCGACCTGAAGTG